GGGAGTGCATTTCGGTCCAGATTTTTTTTGCGAATTACCTCTTTAATAATGTTCCATGTTTTTTGTGTACTGTTGTTTCTCTTTAATTTTTCAGAATAATAGTTTTTTTTTGAGCGTTTTAGAACTTTTCAAATAAACGTTTATAACTTTTATAAGTAGTTTCATTTACCAAAGTTCTTTTTTTAAGAAATTTACAATATAATCGTTGTTTAGTTTTGGAAGGTTTAAGAGTTCCCTTCGTTATCCATGGGTTTAAAAGCGGTTTTGATTTGACTGATTTAGTAATTTTAGGAAATACTTCATTATAATGAGTAAGAAATTCAGTTAAAAAAATATCGTAAGCTTCATTAGCATTTTGATTTTTTAGCGTCTCGTTCCAATTTACGTACGATAAAAGATAATGAAAATATTTCATGGATGTATCGTTTATAATTCGTGTTGTTATTTTTCAAATATATATTTTAAGATGCAAGAGTTTCTGATAGCTAGTGATAATCATCTTTTGTTTTTAGTTCAACTGACAGAAGAGTTAATGGGTAAAATTGGTTAAAGTTAGAATTTGATTTTGGAAAGCGGTATATTTTCATAAACGAGTTTACGTTTAGGCTGATTTTTTATAAAGTTTAGGTAACAAAGACTGAATTTAGATTATGAGTAACAAAGATTAAATTTTGATTGAAAACAGACGTTTTTTTTCTACAGCGTGTTTAAATTGTTATACAAATATGGAAGTTTCAATTAAAAACATAAAAAAAAAATATTTACCAACAAATTAGAAGAACAAAAAAAATCTATTCTGAAAGAAACAGAGAAGTTGTTAAAAGAAAAAAAAAATGTTTTGCGTTTTGCATCGTTTTGTCTCTATACCTTTTATAATTGACCTACTGCCCCCCCCCCATCTCATATACGCCATTTACAGACCCCTCTTCCTCTCCGAGCGTATGTACTTTATGGACGGATTCCTAATGTGACGAATATTCAAAAAGATATAAGTATTCTTAAAACAACTCTAAACTTCCAAGAAAAAAACCTAATGGAAAAAGTTGTACAAATTAAAAAGTGTTATGATAAGGATTTAAATATTTTACACAAAAAAACAATCGATTTAGAAATAATTCACGAATCGATGGAGTTGAAGAAAAACCTAACGAAACATAGAGTGACTGTAAAAATACAGTAAAAAATATTTTCAAAAAACAACTAAAAATTGACAGCGAAGTGGTTGTGGAAAGAACGCATCGAGTGGTTGTGGAAAGAGCGCATCGACTACTAAGAACAACAGTTTTGAAGCTATTAATTTACCAACACAAAAACAAAATTCTCCAGGCAATGAAAAACTTGCGTGGAACTGCTGTATCTATTAATGAAGATTTTGCGAAGAAAACTATTGAGAGTCGTAAAAAGTTATGGGAGGAAGTAAAAAGACTAAGCAGTGAAGGGAAATATGCTCTTATAAAATATGACGTTTTAAAAAAATTTTTTCTAAAAATATATGCCCCTTAAAAAATAAAAATTGCAACCCCCCCAAATTAAGGGGGGTTTAAACTTTATATGGTCATAATTTTTGAACGCTGAAATATATTGCTATGAAATTTAAAATTTATCAATGAATTTAAGTCTAGTTGAAAGTAGTACAAAAAATATTTCATCAACTTGTTGCTCTCAAGTTTGGGGCAAGAAGAACACAAATTTTAGGGCTTTATTGTTCCCAAGCTCCAATCATCGCAATTTTTTGCAAAGCATCCTTATTTGATATAAGTATAAACATATAAATGTTTGGATTTTGCACCATGTCTGGAAGTTAGATATCTCGAAGACCACAAAATGCTGGATACTGCCCTAATATTGAGAATATTTATGAGCGTAATGTTTTTAATGTTTTGTGCTTTGTGTATATGTGGAAAAATGACATATCTTTACCCGTTTTTAAAGATCTCTTTTGTTTGAAACCAAGAAATAAATATACTCTTAAAAACAATAATTTTGTATATGAACCCTTTTATCGAACCAAGTTTAATTAGTTTTGTATTGCATACCGTGCACCTTATCTTTGGAATAAAATTGTTTTGTCCAATTTCAACATGCATTTTTGCTTTTCCCATTTTCAAATATAAACTGAAAAATTTAATGGATGATGTAGTCAGGTTTTTTTAATTGTAATTTTATATTTTCTTTATACCTTTTAATATTAATTAAAGTTGTATTTTGTTCATTATGTTTTGATGTAGTTTATATACACGCACTAGTAAAAGGTTCTGATAATAAAATCAGTACGATCTTTCAGAAACCTTGTTTGTGTTTGTGAAAGTAATTTATTTAATACGACAGCAAATGTAAACTAAAAAAAAAAAAAATTATTTTCGTTGCTAATATTAAAGATAAACAAGGACAATAATACCCGACAATAATGATATTATTTTTTTTATTATTTTGTTTTTTATTCTCTGATTGATTATCACTAATTGATCGATTTGTATTGTATTTTGCAAGATCGCTAGACAACACTACAGTGAATAATGAAATGGTCAATTATTTGGGTTTTATGTGATTTTTAGCACTTTTTGATGAAAGTCTCTGAAGATAAATGCAGTTTGTTAACTTATTCCTGCTGCCAACTAGCCCCAGTCTTTCCTTATTGTTCATTAAGAGCTATTGTAAATATATTTATAGCTAACTCGCACTGAAAATTATTTAAATTTTATTATAATACATATGCAAAACGCTTTGCTTTAATGCCAAGACTTTGTTAGACAAAACAGTTAGAAAAACAGAGAGTCTGTTAGACTAAGTTTAAAATTTATATCATTTTAAATCAGTTTTAAATTTAGTTCAAAGTTTTACTAATGTCAGGTAAGATATCAACTAATTAAGAAAATAAAATTGTTCCGAAGGAAATATTGTTCAAGATTGTTCTAAGCTTACTTGGAGCCTGGGTCAATATTAAAACTTTAGATCACTTACAGACATCAGTATTAAATTTTACACGAGTAACAAAAATTCTTGTATGCTATACAGATATGGTATACAGATTAATTAGTTAGTTAAATGACACGAAACGGGCGTGTTCCGTAAACCCATTAACAGCTAGCCGTAACTTGTACAAAATTGCACGGAAGATGATGCGTTGTAGTAACTATTACTTTGAAGCGGTCAACACTGATAGCATATTGTAATAGAGAACAACAAAACAAAAAAAAAAAAAGTGCGGAGAAAGGGAATTTATTACAGGTGGTCTTGGAAGAAATCACATATTTTATATTTTAAATTACGTCACGCTTAGGGGGGGGGTATAGGCGATTTTTTGACGATTTATTCCGAGGGGAAGGAAGGAAGGAGGGGGGACTCGATTTTGAGACGCAACATTTTTTTTTTTAAAGAAGACTTTCCTTTAGTGAAAAGAGTATCTGACTAAACCAAACCCTCAGTTGATGTATCTACATGTTGATTGTAAAATCAACTACGCCTAAACCTTACTTATTCGGTGAGTACACTCCGTTAACGGAGTAGTTACAGCCTGTTAACGGACTGTTACGGCTGTATTCGCAGCGCACGTTCTGTTAAAAAATGTCAAATACTGCGTGACGTAATTTATGGAGGATGCCTTAGGCGAATGCCAGGGAAGTTTTTTGTTCAAAATAGGTAAATATGAAACAAAAACCTTTTCAAAAAATGCAAACAGTAAAAGCAAATAAAATAGTGAATCAGCAATGACGTATTCGGAAAAAATCAAAAACAAAATAAATGATTAAACCATATGAGTTCACCGTGAAACCCTATTGCCAAGAAATGGCATTCAAAGACACTGCCAAATAAGTTCCTGTGCTGGAAAATTACCTTACAATGTGAGAGAAGTTTGTCCGTAGAATGTCATTGTTATATTGAGCCTTACACGCGTTGTCCTGTTTTCATGAATAAAGTAGGAACTTGACAATACAGATGTTATATAACTTTACAAGTTCTATAACATCCATATAGTCAGTTAGAAGTTATAGGATGGTATCTAAACATGTATGTTGTAAATATTTTTGTATTCGATGTTTTCTATTTGAACTAGATGCTCAGCTGGAAATGTTATAATCTCGAAAAATGCAATAGCTAAGGCAACTTAAAGACAATTTCTAGAGATTTGATAAATTATTAGATTTGCTGAGCAATAACCTGTAGGCTAATATGCAAGGTAGATAATATGCAAGGTAGATAATTCCGTGTCTAGAAATTCGCTTGACCCGGGCTGAAATTATTTTTCAATAATATAATCGTTGATTTTTATTTGTATCTTTATCAAAGAAATTGTTTGCTGTTGTTTTGTTCCGTTGAAATTGTTTGTACCCGTTGTTGCATTTAGTATTTAGTATAGCGGGAGAATACAGTGAATTTTGAAATTTTATTGATAATGCATTTACTTTTTTGAATATCATATATAAATAAAATTTAAAACGTTTAAAATTTTTTAAGTATTTGGCGGAAAATATTTAACATTTTAATAAAAATGTTTCCATGCTTGAACCGTAATTGAAAAAAGAACGAAAGCCAACTCATATTTTTTAAGAAAATTTAGTAAGAAAACATATAGATGAAGGTTTTGATGCTAAAATTAACTTCATCTCACTGAACTCTGCCCAAAATGCAGAAACCTACAAGAAAAAGATATTTATTTTCTATCCTCGATGTGATAATAATATAACTGTTATGATCTTTTTAAATGCATGGTATACATTTTATTTTTTATGCAACACGTAAAAGTTGTCAAAGGTGCACACTTCCTGGAAATGAAAAGTAACTATTTCAATACTTAGAAAATACAAGTAATTGCTGAAGTGCAAGTAGTTGCGATATTACGTTAGCGTCAATTCTGTAATATTCAACGCAATATTCTCAATGGCAACTATAAAAAATTTTAAAAGAGGAAACGGAATGTATAGTAAAACTAAAAACGTAAAAAATAATCAAAACTAAAAAAAAAATAAGTTAACAAAAATAATAAATAAAATTACAAAAAGTTACCAAGTTGATTTTTCAAAAATCTATTTATATTATGCAAAATAAATTCCGATGAAGAAACTTCCCAGATCAAACTAAATCTATCTGAGTTATGAACTAAAATTATAATGGTATTTTTAATCACTAAAAAAGTATAATTTCAATGAAAAAACCCAACTCCAAGAATTTAACCAACCAATGAAATCAAGAGCAAACGTTAACGCCAAACCTTTTTGTGGAGAACATTAAGGTATTCTTGGCAAAACTCCAACACCAACACCACCATCGTGCATGCTCATTTCTGTAGTAAGAGTCCATGCATTTGTCCATGGATCATATGTTTCAATAGAACTTAGATTTGCTGCCCCATTATAACCCCCGATTGCAAAAATTTTTCCGCCTAAAGTAACTGTTGAAACACGGCTTCGACGTTGAGTCATCGATGCAACGTTTGTCCACTGATTGTTGCATGGATCGTAAAACTCTACAGAACTTAAAAACGATGTTCCATCATAACCACCACAAGCATACACTCGGCCGTTTAAAACTGTTAAGCCAAGGCGACACCGCCTTGTAGTCATTGGTGCTATAGCACGCCACTGCCGCAGTGTGCTATCATACATTTCACCGCTAGCAAAAATGGTTAAACCATCGTGTCCACCAGCACAATACAGTTTACCTATAAATAAATGTAATATAAATAAACTAATTGCAATATATCATCAAGATTAAAACTTAAGATAAAATAAAATTATGTTAAACTTTACGAAAATTAATAAAAACTCTTACCATTCAAGGTGCTTACGCCAGCAGCACTTCTCAGTGTCGACATTGAAGCAACAAATCTCCATTGATTCAATTCTGCATCATAACATTCTACACTATTTAAAGATGAGTTTCCGTCATATCCACCTACTACAAAAATTTTGTTGCCTAATACTGCTGCTCCAACTGCGCTTCGACGGATGTTCATAGGACATACCTTTTTCCAGCTAAAATTAAATTATTTTTCTTAGCCTTATAAACTATATATATTTATAGATAATTTATACTTTTATAGTAGTCGAAAAATGACCGTACTCGAAAATCAATATATGCAAACATAAACAGCAAAAGATTCAAACACAGTACTGTATTGCAAAAATACTTTTCAATAAAAACAATTTATTTGGTTAAAAAAAAATGATTTTTTTCTTCAACAGTTTAAAAAAAAAATCTTCAAAATATTCTATAGGAAAACAAATAAATTAACGGAAAATAAAATATTTTTTACCTAATTATTTAGTTGAAGTTTAAATTTTTTTTTCGAATAATAGCTATTTTGAATTTTTATAAGCTTTTTTAAACATAGTTTAAAATAAATTTGTCAAGTTAAAAAATTTAATGTTCTGTGAATTTGTTTCAAAACATCTATAACTAGTTGAGTTATATTATAAAGTTTTTACACACTTTTGGATTTAAAACTTTAAAAATTTAAATTTACTATTAAAGGGTGGCCATTTAGAATTTTAATAAGGTTTGTTTAGTCATTGTTTAAATTAAATATGTTTAGTTAAACAATTTATTTTTCTGAAAATTTATTTCAAGGCTAAAATTGAATTATTATGCAAGGTTAGATGCAATTGTGAATGCCATTATTTTTTTTATTATTCATTATTCTAAACTCCATGTTAACATATGTATGTTCGTTTTCTGTTTGAATCTCTGATGTGGTGTTGTGGTGTGACACCCGGTTGTAGTGTTAACTAAGTGACTGACTAGTGAGTAAAACCGTATAACAGACAGTTAGCCTTAATTTTAACCTTTAATTTCTTTTTATACAAAAAGAAGAGAAAAAAGCTAAGAGAAATGAACTGGTGGTGTTGATGATGGTATCTAAATGAAAACGCTCATATTAAATACTGATATTAACTGGATTGGGCTACTGCTTGGTAGAAGACCTCCTAGGCAAATAGTTTAGGGGTAAACTGAAAATTCTGTTAACCTGCCTTTCACCTCTTCTTCACTGGAATTTCTTGACTCTACCTAAGGGTAATTGCTTGAGCATTCTTGTTACTGGTTATACAACTGCTATTGTTATCTCCTAATATGGGTACACCTCTAAAACTCAATTTAATGATTCTAAGGCTAGCTGGTGGTAAAGTTTCCTGAATTGTTTACTAGTTGAATTACCAGAGACATGGTGGGGATTAAACTCGAAACTTCCTGCTTATGAAGCAAACACTCTATCGTTACATCACTATTACATTATTTATTAAACTGTTATTAAAAAACTGCAATAATTATTAAAAACATGTTTAAAGTATGTAAAATACTAACTTTACAACATCTTTTACAAAAATTTATGATCTGCAAAGTAACTTGATAATGAATCTAGTATCACTACATCTAGTATCACTTACCCTGCTGACAATAAAGCTTTTGTATTTCTAAATCTTTTAGTTACATTTTTCTAACAATACTAACCAGTTACCTTCAATCCTTGAATATGTCATCTCTGATCCTAGTTTGTGCTTAGCTTCTTATTCTTCTTTAGATGGTCTTGTACTTATTCTTTCGACTCACCTTGTCATAGCACTTTTTAATACTACCTTAAAGCCAACTGTTTGTCTTTTAGGATTTCTTGGGTGATTTTCTTTGTGATAAAGATTCCTTTCAAGATTCTCTTTGTGATAGTCCTTAGGCTGATAACTTTCGCCTCTCTGCAGATAACTGTATAAAAAGATAAAGCAAAACTATTTGCAAAGGGCTTTTCTTTTAATTCATGTCTTAAATCTAATGATCACATTCTTTTTGTAATCCCAAAGAAATAGCTTTATCCATTGTTAGATACCCAAATAATTTGGGCTTCATTTGCAAGTTATTTCTCTTTTAAACTCTTCTACAGCTTGTGACTAAATTTCAAAAATGCTACTGATTTCAAAATTTTTGATAGGGGGAATCTTCCTTTCCTTTACACACCTCCTGCCTTACAACTACTTTCACTCTTTCCAACTTATATTTTCAAATAAATAACAACAATGATGATACAAATGTATCATCACCATTATCAAAGTTGTTAGCCTAATCAATTGCAAGTATATAGACATAAAAATTTCTAATTTAAATCAAAACATTTATCTCTGATAAATTATAAGTTCATCATTGGATAATTAAATTGATTTTCACCAATAAATTCTTTTAGCTTGGTCTTCTATTATGAAAGATCTCAGTGTAACTCTGGACTCTCAACTAAATTATAAAAAGCATATCTCAAACATTGTACATGCAGCTAATACTAGAGCATATCTTATTTTAAATTGCTTCAAGTCTCGCGATTCTAGAATCTTAGTAAAAGCCTTCAATACATATATTAGGCCTATATTAGAATATTGCTCCCCAGTTTGGTCACCATATCATGTTGAACTAATAAAGGTTGTTGAGAACGTGCAAAAACGTTTCACAAAAAAAATCCTGCACTTAGGCAATTTAACCTACAATAACTGACTTCAGTTGCTTGATTTGGAGTTGCTTGAGTTAAGGCGAGTAAAGCATGATTTTTCGATTTGCTACAAAATTCTGCATAACTTGGTCTTAATTGATAAATCTATGTTCTTTCTTTTTGACAACAAAAACAACATTCGGGGACAAGTATAAATTACACAAACAACATTGTCGACTAGATATTCGCAAATTTAGTTTCTCTTACCGAGTTGTCAACATTTGGAATCAGTTGCCTTTCGATGTTGTTAATGCCGATAATATCAACATCTTTAAGAGTAAAATTAACTCAATCAATTTTGAAAAGTTTTGTCGGCGTTGATAAATTATTTATTCAATTTTTTTTTTTTTTTTCAGGTGGGCACGCTGTTAGTGTCCATCAATATTGGACCTGCGTGTCCTTTAGAACATGTATATTATTTGTTCTAATAAATACAAATACAAATACTATGTCTTTTTTTAGAGGGAATTTTAATTAAATTTCTGATGAACTAATAACCTAATATAATATAAAAACCTATGATTTAGTTTTGTATAAACCCAAGTTTTTAGAGTCTGTGAATATGGATATATATATATATATATAAATATATATATATATATATATATATATAAATATATATATATATATATATAAATATATATATATATATATATATATATATATATATATATACATATATATATATATATATATATATATATATATATATATATATATATATATATATATATATATATATATATATATATATATATATATATATATATATATATATATATATATATATATATATATATATATATATATATATATATATATATATACATTCAGACAAAAATGAATAATTTATAAATCGTTATTAAAAATTAAAAACTACCTATTTTGCAAACATTAAAAAAATTGAGTAAAAAAAAAAATGAGTAAAAAAATTAACTGATTATAAATAACATTATAATTATAACAATATAACAAATAAAAAATTTTTGTATATTTTTTTTGCATTTTAAATTTTGTTCAAATTCAAAATAAAATATTAATACCCTACAAGTTTTTATTTACATTATAAACACACATATTTTATTGGCCATTTGCTTGCATAAATATCCCTCCAAGATTGAACCAGTTGTCCAGTACTGGTGGGAGAAAAAGAGCAAAGGTTCGTAAGAAAATGAGAAGAAAAATAAACAAAAACATTTAGATTACATTATTTGAATAAAAAATGAAGAAAAGCGTCAGCAGATATTTAATTTATTTTTAAATCTTGTGACTTCTATAAAAGCAAAATTAAAAGAACTTGTTTAATCAATATTTTTTTATAGTTTGATGACATTGAGATCAATATAAATAATTCCAAAGAGTTGCAAAATATCTTGGAGTCTTCAAGATATTGAAGGCTCCCAAAAAATAAGTTAGATTTTTAAGTTGTTAGTCAACAATATATCCAACCAACAAATATATAAAAATGATCTTGATACACAAACTAGACCAGCTTCTAACAACCCTGCTCATGGAAATCATTATAAATTTTAATTTTTTTCCCTTTAATTATTTTTGCTTACAATTTTATTTGATGTGTTTCTTTTATGCACTGCTTTAAAAACTATATTTTTATTATATGAGTTTACTATATTGTGAATTTGTAATTTAATTGTAATTTAATATAACTTTATGATTTTCCATTTTAAATTACATACTTTAATGGGTAGATAAATAAATAAGTAAATAAATAAATATATATATATATATATATATATATATATATATATATATATATATATATATATATATATATATATATATATATATATATATATATATATATATATATATATATATGCGAATATAGATGTCAGTAATCATATCTGGACAATTGCCTTAAATCAAATTAGTGATATTGCATATTGTATCTTTAGTATTTATGTTATTCCGCAATTTTGCAGCTCTGTTTGTAAGAAAGTTAAATCTTGCTGGATAATTTGTAACCAGTTCAATATTCAATTTATTGCCTTGCCTATGTGTATGAATCCCAAATTTATCAATAAATAGAAACATAAAATTTGACATTTGAATTTTTTCATGCCAATGAAAAAATTCAATGGTCAAATGAAAATTAAGTTTCCAGTAGTGTTTTTTTTTTTGTTATTTTAGTCCACTTAGAAGTTTTAATGAAACATTAAATAATTTAATAAATGATTATATGTCTATTAACTTGAATGAAAAATTATTTTGTATCTAATTCTTATATTTAAATAATTTAAACAAGGATAATTTAAAAAAAGGTTTCAAAAATTATTTGTGTCAACCTTACCATCCAAGTGCGGGATCATATCTTTCAACGTCATTTAATCTTACAGTTCCATCGAAACCACCAATTGCATAAAGTTTTCCATCATGAATTGCAACACCTACTCTTGACCTTTGAACAGACATTGGCAGAACATGGTTCCATTTTCCAGAAACTGAATCATATTTTTCTACAATTGATAATGACTCTCCTGATGATGTTAATCCACCTACAACATAAATCATTCCACATGATTCATTGCATCTTCGTGGAAGAGTTCTTTCACTATTTAACTCCTTTCTACGCTCAGGCATTAACTTGTAATCTTTAGCTTCATCTATCAAATCTCTGCAATATATATTGTTATGAATAATTTCTTCTGTTAAAACCCTGTCACTTAAATACTGAGGTGATAATAAAGGAAGCCGCACATGGGCAAGCAACCTTGGTAAATATTCTTCTCGTTTTGCAATGTCTACCTTTACCCATGACACTACTGCTTCAAATATTTGTTCCTCAGAACGAACGTTTAGGTCATCTTTTTTAATTATTTCTATTAAATTATCAATATTAATTTGCATAAATTCGTCAGACTGTGATACTTCTACAAAATTTTTTTCAAGGAAAGAATTTGCTGCTTTTAAAAGTTTTTCACATAAAAAAGCGTCGGCTAAATTTCGTACTGTTAAACAGTTTTCTGGATGCAACTTTTTCATCAAATAATTTATACAAGCATCTTTAACACAGTTAATTTGCATTAAAGATGCAGCAGATAACAAGTTATGGACGTTATCAATTCGCACATAAAGATTTTCTCCATATATAAAATCAACAAGAGCTTGAAGTGATTTACTGTCAACACCATGAATGTATATCTTAGGTGAGGAACTTTCAATCATTTTGTTTGTAAACATGGCACTAAAATAAGGTGTTGTAGCGGCTAAAACTATTTTATGAGCTTTAATTTCATTGTCCTCTGCAACTAGAACTACATCACAGAGACAATCATTTTGTTTCAATTTCAAAAAAGATTTCATTATATCACGAAGAATATCAGGTCTAGAGGAAAGTGAAAATATTTCTGACTCTGAAAGACCTTCGTCGTCAATGCTCCTGAGAGAAGAGAAATGGTTATCACTAGGAGAAAAACTGGCTCTATTCGACTTTTCTTCTCGAAACTCATACCCATCCATAGCCATAGCAAGGTTTTTTTGAAAAAATTATGTTCTTGAACTGATTTAAGACAACAATTTTTTAAAAATTTGTTTACATATTTAGGTAAAGTACGCATGCGTTGTTTTTAGACAAAATTCCAACTGTAACTATGTGGAGTTAAATTACGGATATGAATCAAAAATTAACACCTGGCATTAAGACTTGATAAAACGAAAAATTTAGTTAGAAGCATGAATTTTTAATTTAAATTTTAAATGTAAAATCATATGATAAATTATTGATTAATATAAACGTCAAATTATTAAAGTTATGTACATGCTTAACTACATAGAGATTGGAAACACGTTTCTATTAATTTTTTATAGTTTGTACATCTTGTATCTTTTATTTAGTTATTATATAATTAAACTTTATAGTTGTTATCTTAAAGTTTTTATAATTTGGAGCTCTAGATATTGCTGTCATTTTCCACCTCCCCTCGCTGCACAATTTCTTAGGTTCTTAGGTCAAGTGGGGAGAGAGGAAAGGGGGGGGGGAAGGCACCTTTAGGTTTTTGTTAACTAAATAAAAAAAGTGTTCTCTAATTCCCTAATTTGAATGAAGTTAAATAGCCCAATTTTTCCATTTTGTCGAATGAATCTAAAAAGAAGATACAATTTGTGGATTAAAGGTACAAAAAGGTCCAAATTTGCCAATTAATGGTATAAAAATTCATTGAGTGGGGGTGTCACAAAACTACCCTTTACGTCGGCCATGGTTGTAAAGTAAGAAACCGTGTAAACAACCCTGTGAGCACTTGTCTAGAAGAAGCGTGATTTTTGGTAGGGAAAAGTCGGGCTACCGACAGACGGCGGGTAACTCCGGACACTTGATGTTTAAAGAAGCTATAAGGCTTTTAATGCTATAATAGTATCATTTGAGTGAAAATATGGCATATGCAAAATATCTATTAAAATATGCCAAACTAAATGACTGGGAGGGCAAGATTTTGTTTTCCACCACCAGAAGAGCGACGTATCATCATATTTGATTCACATATAAATATACCTAATTTTTATGTAAACTAATAACTTTTTAATGAATATAGATACATTTAAAACTTAAATTCACCGGTTTTAAAACTAGTATTTGTGAATGAGGTTTGATCGGGTGGTATCGGATACATGTTTGGAGAGTGGCTCTGGACAACTTAATTCGTTTCCATATTAATAATAAACAACTTTTTTATATAAATGTTAATATATTTAATATAAACACAAACCTATAATAGTAATTCATTTAATTCCAACAAAAAAACCTTTGAAAAAGTGTTTTTAATGTGTATATTTCATTATAAAAAAGTTTATGTTTATACTATAAATGATGACATTTTCATTCTCATTCCTTATATATCAGAGGCAATTTTTAAAGGTGATTTTTTTAAAAATGTGTCGAAAACAGTCCAATGCTCAATTATTATATATTACACTTGTGTCGCACTGGTAAAAAAGAGGTAAAGTCATGGTTAAACATAGCGTCCGGGGCTACACTCCAATTTCAGAACATGCTTTTTTTCTAACATTTTTTCATTTATGTTTTGTATATTATTAAAATACACGATAATTATTTTTTTGTTTCTAATTCGATAGATGAATGTTTGAACTTTTAAAAAAAGTTTTTTGACATTTTATTTTCTGTTAGCACATGTGTACAAACTATATTTTCCTTGAGTGTCCGGGGCTACCCGAATCTCTCCTAATTCTAAACATTTTAATAAATTAAATTCAATATAGATAAATTTAATTAAAAAAATTACCTGAAAAAAACAAAATTTTTTTTTAGATACAATTGCATGTATAGCTGGTGCCAAAACCATTAAAATATGGAATGAATTTAGTCAAAGTATCTACAGGTGAACAGAACCTTTTCCAATAAAGCCAACTTTACCGTATGAGTGAAAACAAGTTTTTCCATGAGTTTTTAATACACAAATATGTTGAATCAAAATCAAAATTTTGAAATTTTTGACTTCGGCAACATTTTTTTTGTTTGTTTTAAGTTGCCTTACGGTCTTATCACAGAGCACCACAGAAAACCATTATTAGGAAGTTCACGCCTCCTTCCAAACCGATGTCGCAAAACTTGGCGTTTGAACCACGGATTTTACGTTTTTGAGGAAAGTGCGTTACCACTGCGTCACGGCTGCTATAAACATATTCAAATGGATTTAATGTTATTAAAAAACCTCTAAACCTATAAAAAGGTAACAAAACATATTTATACTAAGAATTTTATTTTTTAAACAATTTTTTTTTTTTATAATATTTTACTTTTTTTTTTAATCAAGAATCATAACTTTAGTTTTAAACAGATCCAAATTTTATTTCTTTATAAGAATAGTGAGGATTCAAAGCATAAATTTATCTTATCATAACTTTTAAGAAGTTTAGACAATTTTTGTTCAGCGCAAAAGTTAATTTTTAAATTATTTGTATAAACGAAACATAGTGTCAAAATATAGAAGTTAAAAAAAAATTTTCAACTTAAAAATTATAAAGTAGTTAATCAACTTAAAAACTCTGAAAAAACAGAGGACTTTATACCTTAATTAACAATTCATTAATTCACAAACCGCAGGTTGAATACTGTACATTAAATAACGATAGTGATTCATTAACAATTAAAATCTAAAGTAAAACAAATAAAAACTTAATCGTGCATGTTTTAGTTTGACTGTGTTCTGGTGGTAATATATATATATATATATATATATATATATATATATATATATATATATATATATATATATATATATATATATATATATATATATATATATATATATATATATATATATATATATATATATATATATATATATATATATATATATATATATATATATATATATATATATATATATCAGGCGCGGATCCAGCATTTTTTGATGTTTGAGATAACTAACTTCCAGACATGGAACAAACTCCAAAAATTTATATGTTTATACTTATGTCAAATAAAGATGATTTGCAAAAAATTGCGACGATTGGAGTCTGGGAACAAAAAAGCCCCAAAATTTTGGCCACACAAACCCCAAACAAGAGAGCAACAAGTTGATAAAATATTTTTTGTACAATTCTTAAGTAAATTTATATTAATCGATAAATTCTAAATTTCATACAATAATCTCTTAGTGTTCAAAAAACATGACCTTACAAAATTTGTAACCCCCTCAAATTGAGGGGGGTTAAAGCTTTGTGCAATTATAATTTTTGAACACTAAGAGATTATTGTATGAAATTTAGAATTTATCGATGAATATAAATTTACTTGAGAATTGTACAAAAAATATTTTATCAACTTGTTGCTCTCTTGTTTGGGGTTTGTGTGGCCAAAATTTTGGGGCTTTTTTGTTCCCAGACTCCAATCATCGCAATTTTTTGCAAATGATCTTTATTTGACATAAGTATAAACATATAAATTGTTGGGGTTTGTACCATGTCTGGAAGTTAGTTATCTCAAACATCAAAAAATGCTGGATCCGCTCCTGTATATATATATATATAAAACACATTTAAAGGGTAATAACAAATAAAAATGTTTGTAGTGAATGCGTTTACCTTCTAGACGATCTGAATTTAAATTTGCTAGAATAAAACTGAAATAGAACCATTAAAAATTAAGTATTTAAAAATAGGTTTGTTCCAACTATATATAAACTAGGGCCCTGCGAATCGATTTAATTCGCGAACCAAGTATCGCTTCGATTCGAAAAAAATGATTCGAGTTTTTTGAATCACTATTTAATTTATGAGTGTTGTTGTTTTTTCAGATATAAAATGCTATGATGCTATCAAAATGTGTTTTATCTCAGCTAGAATAAAGTAGTTGTAATCGAAAGTAATTAAAATACTGCTTCCAAACAACCGTTAAAAAATTACTCCTGGCAAAAAAAAAAATTTTCAAGCAGATTTAAAAAAAAATGCTTAAACTTGGATTTACTTATATTGCTGATTCAATTCGTGATTCGATTCGTAAATCAAGACCCGCTTTGATTCGAGATTCAATTCGAACCTAAAAATGCCGATTTGCAGGGCGCCAACTAGATTTACCAAAAAATACTGTAATCTCAATTAATCAAATTTTAACAATCGAGTTTACAAATATGAAAATTAAAAATGGAATACTTATATCCTATATATCGGGTTGTTTTACAAAATTTATTGCAATTCAGAAATAAACTCATTTCTCAAAAATTAAAAATAAGTAATCGAATAATTAATGTAGTCTCTATTTTTCAGTGAAACTTTAGTTTTTTGAAAACTGAAAACAAAACTTACAAATAAAAAACACTAAAGAAACATACGATTACTTCTAAACAAATAATTTTCTTAAAAATTTCAAAAACATTATAATAAAGCATTTGCGGGGACAACAAAAGTTATTAAAACAAAAACATATTTGAGCCTATCGGAATATCTACCTGAATATTAAAATGATCGAAAAAAAAAATAAAAAAATAAAAAAATTAAAAGAACGTTTGTATGAAAATTTCTTTAAAAGAGAGCATTTTATCATGATTTCATGTATGAACTTTAAACGGTGTTTTGAAGCTAATTATAAAGCTATGCAAGAAAGAAATTATATACAAATTAATTGAAATTTAAAGGAAACATGCAAATAACCAGGAATGTCTTTAAGGCAATAGGTAGTTAAATAATTAGCATTAGTAGGTAAAAATAAATAACATTAATAGGTAAAAATAATTAACAACATGTCATTTTTAACGCTTAAAACTAAAACCCGGTATTTTTAACCTTGAGTCATATTTAACAGCAAGCAAAACAAGTAGAATTGAGTCATTAAGTGCTTTTTATTCGTTGAAACAAATATAAATTTACAGGGCTGCTTCAAAGAGAATTAGAGGGGGATAGGAAAAACAGGACAATTTCTCCCTATGCCCTGATAATATTTAAGCAGCAGTAGCGCAATGGTTAACGCTCTTGTCGCAGACACTAAAACGTTGTGGTTCAACGCCGCCTCTGGGCAAGATAGAGCTTTCTTTCAAATGCTCTTCCGCGGTGCTTTTTGATAAGACTGTAAAGGCATCTTGGGGCACCTAAAATTAATATATATATATATATATATATATATATATATATAT